TAAAAATAATGCTAATACGTATAGAGGGCTTACTATATGTCAAACAAAATTCTAAAATTTGCACATACATAAAATTATTTTATCTTTCCAAATTATTATATGAATTAGATCCTATTTTACACATAAAGATAGATTTTAAGTAACCTACCTAGGTCATATGCTACAAGATGTAAAGGTGGGATTTGAATGCATATTTTAACCACTGTACAGAGGGAAAAAGGAGAGGGTCATTCCTGGCAGAGGGAATAGCATACACAATCCCAAAGGGATGAAGGATCCTGTATAGTCACGCTAAGATATTTAGTCCAAACATAATACTGCAGACACTGGGGGGCAAAGGAGGCTTCTACTCCAGGAGTGGCACAATGGAATACGATGGTACTGAGAAGCAGCAGGACAGAGGGTAAGACAAACTCCCAAAGCCCCTCCAAATGTGAGCTCTGTTCCATTAGGCAAGTTAATTAGCCCCCATGTGCTCCGTTTTCCTATCTGTAAAGTGTAAATAGTAACAACTATCTTAGAAGGCTGTACAGAGGATTATGTGAGTATTCATAAAGTGATTAGAACACTGCCCGGCAGACAGTGTCATAAAAGTGGTTACATATAAGCCAACAAATAAATACTAAAGGCAGGAGACTATGTAAAGGGACTACTGCAATATGCCAAGTAAGTAATGATGCAAGCTTAACTAAACAGTAATAAAGCGGTTACAAATGAAATCCAAACGAAGAAATTTCTCAGGAAGAAGCAAAAGCATCTGGTGGGCATTTAGATTATGATGGAGGCAGAGTAGTAGTGTATGGCAGTCCATAGTTTGGGAGCTACCAAATTATCAAGGTCAGTCAAGGTAAGAGATACATGGTGCAGAGTACAGGGAAGTTTAAAGCATGAAGCTTCCACATGTGCTTTCCAGTGGAATCACGGGCAAGGACAACTTTTCCCTGCAACAATGTATGACCACATGCCTAAGAATACCGCCAAGTAGGAAGGCTCATCAAAAGCTTGGTGTCTAGATTTTATTGGGGCCCAGTCACATAAACATGATCAATTGGCTAATCTTTAGTTTCCAACTCCTCTGGAGGTCAGAGGTGGGAAGCCAAGCTGATACCATGGCCCACAGCCCCTACCATAAATTACAGTTAGACTTTCCAGTGTGGCCTGACCCCCCAAGTAAACAAGGACACTCTTGGGCAGGACATTCCAAGGGCTCAGAGATAACCTCCCAGGAGCTGAGGGCAAATGTCAGGCTTATTTTTGATTAAGGTTCATTCCTTACCTTGAAAGTCTGGAGGAGGAAAGAGGAAACATATTGATGGTGATAACTTCAACAAGTGAGAAAAAATATGCAAGTGGCAAATGACAACATAGGTTTAGAAGGGAAAATAACATGCTTCTGAGATTGCCTAGTATCAAACTAAGTGAAATGACCAGAAAATACTGAGAAGTATGGAACAAAGCTGAGAGAAGACTGCACAGCTTCAGATGGCAGCATAGTGAGGGAAGTTCAAAGTCATGCCATGAAAGGGCTTCCCTGAAAGATAAACAGGCAATGAGAGGAGCAAAACTTAAACTCATTGTAAACAACTTCAAAGGGCTAGTCAGAGGGTGACTTGTAAAAAGTGTTATTACAAAAAAATAAAATTTAATACTAAATCTTCCCCATTATCTACATCTCTTAGATAAGAAAGGAAACTAAAAGTAAGTAAATCACTTTCCAGGTAGAAGACAAAAATGCACTCACCTTTCTCTGGAAGTAAATACACTCTGCAAGCATGACATTCCAAATAAAAGTTAAAAATATATATATATTTGTTCTGACTTCCGCATGCCATCTTCCATGTTCAGACTACTTTCTGAGCTCAGACTTTATTTTGCCCATGGCAAATTTAGAACATTTATGCAAAACTTAAATCATCATAAAAACGCAACAAAAAGGTAGATGAAGCAGAAGGCACAGCTAATTAAATGGATTTGAGGTTCACTGCTCATTTAATGTAGGGTCAAACAATAACTTATAAATCTGTCTGAGCACATTAAATAGAAAAATAATTCATTACAGGGTATGGGTAGCCAGACTACCATAAAATCTGAAGACACTATCCCTTTAAAAAAATTTTTTTTTTAAATCATCCATGAATGTCTAATTACACCCAGGTGTGAGATTAGGAGTTAGGCAGTGGAAGTTCTTGAACCAGAAAGCCTAGATACAGATCCCTGCTCTGGCACTTATGTAAACTTGGGAAGTTACTTAAATGCTATGTGGTTTCATCATGTGAAAAATGGGAAACAAACCTCAGAGCTTTGTTCTGAGGATCACATAAAGCCAATACTATCTGGTACATAATAAGCATGCAGTAGAAGTGTGGTTGTCTGGCTACTCTCTGTGAGTAACTTTACATACTAAAAACATAATGAATTTATTACACTCCACTATCATTCTTCTTTTTTCTCTGTGACAGAAGCTACTCATTTTAAAATCCAGTTTGAGGGGCACCTGGGTGACTCAGTCGTTAAGGGTCTGTCTTTGGCTCAGGTCATTATCCCAGGGTCCTGGGACAGAGCCCTGCATTGGGCTCCTTGTTCAGCGGGAAGCCTGCTTCTCCCTCTCCCGCCCCTCCTGCTTGTGTTCCCTCTCTTGCTGTGTCTCTGTCAAACAAATCTTTTAAAAAATAAATAAATAAAACTAAAAATCTAGTTTCGAAATAAAAACCACAACCACAAACTATTTTTTCATATTGCAGTATTTACAAGTTCCTAAAACAGTATAATTTGTTCTAAAATTATCTCAGAACCACCTCAGACTTTATTATCAGTCAATATTTCATTTGTTTAAAAAAAAAAAAAAAGCTTAAAGTTGTCCTTTTAAGTGAGAAAGCGTTACTGAGTTTATCCACAAAGAGATTAGTAAGACAACAATACGACTGAATCCATTGTCTATAGCTACATAACCTTTTTTTTCCTGAGCAGTATGTACTGGGCTTTTGTCCCTCGCTTCAGAAGCAGTGCTCCCTCTTCTTTCAGCCTAAATTATCTAGTTCTTTTTGCTAAGATAACTCCTGTTAGGTCACCAAGGGCTGGCTTCTCCTCAGGTCTTTGTTGGCACCCTCTGTATTTGTTAAATAAGACAAGGTTCTCCTGTCTATTTCTATCAGGATATTTATGGAATTAATAGTTCATATAGTTTTAAAACCAGCCTCCTTATCCCCCATGAACACCAGACTGCAGGCAAACTGGATATAGGAACTGTCTTGCTCTTTATATTCCACAGGGCATGGAATATACTATATAAGAACTCAGTGTAGGCAAGGGAAACAGAAAAAAATGAACTATTAGGATTTCATCAAGATAAAAAGCTTCTGCACAGCCAAGGAAATAATTAATGAAACTAAAAGGCAACCTTCAGAATGGGAGAAAATATTTGCCAATGACGTATCTGATAAAAAGTCCAAAATATATACAGAACTTATCAAACTCAACACCCAAAAAACATTTAACCCAGTTAGGAAATGCAGAAGACATGAATAGACGTTTTTCCAAAGACATACAGATTGGCCGACAGGCACATGAAAAGATGCTCAACATCATTCAGCATCAGAGAAACACAGATCAAAACCATAATAAGCTACCACCTCACACCTGTCAGAAAGGCTAAAATCAACAACTCAGAAAACAAGAGATATTGGAGAGGATGCAGAGAAAGGGGAACCGTCTTGCAGTGTTGGTGGGAACACAAACTGGGACAGCCACTCTGGGAAACAGCATGGAGGTTCCTCAAAAAGTTAAAAATAGAATTACCCTATGATCCAGCAATTGCACTACTTCAGGAATTGAACCAAAGTATACAAACATACGGATCTGAAGGGGCACGTGCACCCTGATGTTTATAACAGCATTATCAACAACAGCCAAACTATGGAAAGAGTCCAACTGTCCACCAACTGATGAATAAAGAAGATGTGGAGTGTGTGTGTGTGTACACTTATATACATATGTAATATCACTCAGTCATCAAAAAAGAATGAAATCTTGCCATTTGCAATGATGGAACTAGAATGTATTATGCTAAGCAAAGTAAGTCAACCAGAGAAGGATAAATACCATATAATTTCACTTGTATGTGGAATTTAAGAAACAAAACAGATGACACAGGGAAGGGGGGGAAAAAAAGAGAGGAAAGCAAACCATAAGACTCTTAACTATAGAGAACAGACTGAGGGTTGATGGAAAGGAGGTGAATGGGGGAGAAGCTAAATGGGTGATGGGCATTAGAAAGGGCACTTGTGCTGAGTACTGGTTGTTATATGCGGGTGATGAACCACTAAATTCTATTCCCGAAACCAATATGACACTATATGTTAACTAATTAGAATTTAAATGAAAATTGAAAAAGAAAAAAAAAAACCACTTCAATGTAAAGAACCCATGGAATAACATTCTGACCAAAGGCAAAAGTCACTAAGCATAGAAATCAAACTTACCTCACTTACTTTTATGCATGAAAGATGTTTTCAAAAATACATTTAAATAATTTGTGTGTGTGTGTGCGCGCACGTACATGTGTTCAAAACATAGCCTGCCGAAAACACAGGGAAGAAATATAACCAAATAAAATGACTCTAAGACAGAGCTGTGCCAGCTTTAAAGACTAATTATCTTCTGAATTTTCAGAAACTAGTCAAATACCCTCAGAAGTTTTAAGGTTTTTCTGTTACAGTATAATTAATTTTGTCAAACTGGTGGGCATTCCTATTTCAAAGATTAAAACAATTGCTCGAGGCAAGGCTCTAACATTTTTTTCCTTACTATTACTACAAAGTTTTCTTTCTCCCCTTTTCATTTTCCTAGGATTCCATCTATTTCTTCAGTTCTTCTCTTTAGTCTCTGTAGGAAAAGAGCACCCAGATTTAGATTCCTTTATCTTTTATCCTCAAGCACCCCTCCCCCAAAAAGGTTTTATTTCCTGTTCTATCATAAAGCATCAAGAGATGAATTATACTAACCTTACTGTATTCCAGGCATCTCCAAGTTCTTTGGAATACTGTTTCTCAAAATGATCCAATACAACTCTGCAAATCTGTTTTGCAAGCTTCCCCTCTGATTTTGCTTTCAGCTATGATGATAAGAAAATGTTGCTGACACAATCTGGTATTACAAATTTATTAAACTTCAAATTAGCAGTTTTTTTTCTTAAGAACATGTTTTATGATTATTATTAGTTCTTTCAAGGAAGCATTACTTCAAATATAACAACACTGTATTTATGAAAAAAGAGGGTTTCTTCAAATAATTATTGCTCATATGTAAAGCAAAGGTTAAAGGCTTTGTGGCGTTAAAAAAAAAAAAAAAAAAAAGGTTAGTGGCCTTAACAGAAGCTGCGTCAAAGAAACAAAATTAAGCGACTCTAGGTACTAACATTTGGGGAAACTGAGTGAAAAGCCTATGGAAATTAGTATTATCTTGGCAACTTTATTCTAAACGTAAAATTATTCTAAAATTAAAATATTACTTCGGAAAAAAAAAAAAGTCGCTCGCTTCCTGTGTAAACTTCCTTGCAATTTTATTTCATTTACTCATTCAAAGTTTAGCGAGGTATTACCGGGTAATACTGTTCTAGGGTCCCAGGATAAAGCAGTGAGTCTCATATCCTGAGGAGCTTGCATTCTGCTCAAAGCTGAACGGAGCAGGTATTCAGCACTGCAGGCTGGACTGCAACCAAGTTACGTGGGGCACAGGTGAGTCTTGGGAGAAAACAGCGGAGAACGCTCAAGAGAAAACGTTCGAGCATTCAGCATTACAGCCTTGAACTATGAAGCCAGAGAAGCCAACAGCTCGCGAAGTTCCCCCATCCCGACCCCCTCCCTCGCCACCTAGGCCCGCAAAGTGATTGAGTCAGAGGCTCCCAGTCGAGTACCAGCCCTCACCCGGGTCAACATTATCCCGCCGCGAGAAGCCAGACAAGAGATCTACACGACGCAGCACCTAAAACCTCCAGGAAATCAAAAGCACGGCCTCACATGCGAGGTTCACTCTCTGGCACTTCTATCCCTCGTTTTTCCGCTTCAACTCCCCGCGAGATACTGCTTTGCCCTCCTAGTCGAAATCTCGCCAAAAGTGGTGTAGGTCCCGCGAGAGGCACGAGCGCGCAAAGTTACTTCCGCCGGCGGCTGGTGGGGGCGGTGCTTACTACCAAGGGCGTAGTTTGACCCTTGGGCGGAGCCTTGAGTGGCTGGAAGCTTCAAGTGAAGCGTTTTACTGAACAGCAGCTGCTGTGTGCTTGTGGCTCAGTAAAAAAAAAAAAATGTTAATTTGTATTAGGTTTTGTATAATGACCATTGTTGTAAAATGTTCTCAGAGGCTAAGCTAGTTACTGAATTAATCCATCAAATTTGATAACCCCCCCCTTTTAGCTTAGATATTCAGAACTAAGGGTAATAGGGATGACAGGAAGAAATAAGGCATGTATTTCCTAGAGATGGACAATGGGGATGATCTCTCTTTCAACGGAGAGGGTTAAATGTTTAATTGAAATACAGTGAAGCACTTAGCACAAAGGGTAGGAAACAGTAAACGCCTAAATGTTAGCTGCTGCTGTGTATTATTTTTACTATCATGATCTTCAAGATTATGATCATCTCGTTCTGTCTGATACCAAATGCCTGAAGACCAAAATGACCCTACACAGTAGCCTCCCACCCACCTTTACTAAGGGCAGTGTTACATGTGCTGAGGAAAGTATTACACCCATTCTAATAGGAACAGCACTTTATTTGCTCTTTTAGTGTTACTTTTTAATTCCTCCCTTGTAACAGCAATCAGCAATTCAAGAAATCAGTGCTTCATATGGTCCGTGATATTTAGTGAAAATCATCATTTTGAGACCTTTGATGCTCAAAATATCAGTATAGGCATATACCATAGGTACAAATCTTAGAACCATGTAGAAAGGAAAAAAATCATCAATAATGTGATTTGAAGCTTAATACATTTACTTACACAACTTCCCCAGTAATCTAAAAATAAATTTAGATTTGGTGCAAAAGAAAATAAAGTATTAAGGAGTGAAGTGATTAAATGCATGCGGTTGGTTGGTTGTTTAAAGTCATTAGTCTACCTTTCAGCCTCTATACATAAAAGATTATATTTTTTTCTATGTTCATTTCAGAATGTTGCATTTATTGAATTAATATGGTAGTATATTTGCAAAGTAGACATTTAAAAGACTTTTAAGGAGATAGTAGAAATCATATACACTGTATTTCTATTATGGAAAGGGGATGTGTAATGCTTGGAAAGAGGTCATATTGGTTCTATTATATAATTTTTGAATTTTCTATTTCCCAATGTTTCTATTTTCCAATTTTAAATAAGCTAATGCATACTGATGAAAATGGAAAAACAAAAGCCTATGAGAATGAAAATTGAACATAATGCCACTAGAGATCATATTGACATCTTGATGTATTCCTCTAGTTTTACGCATTTTCAAGACATTACCATGTCTGATAATCTTACAATTTTTATTATATTCTTAGTTTGAATAGGTTTCAAATTGTACTATTTGTTTCTTTTGTAAATTACCACCTCATGTCCACTTATCTATAGATGTCTTTAGTGCTATTTTTATTTATATTAGAGATAAAATATATGTTATATATTTATTTATATTAGAGATGTTAACCATATAACATTTTCAAGTACCTTCCCATTTCTTTCTTACAACTCTTTAAATGTAAAAATATCTTAAAATTTTATGCAGTAAATTTTTTTTTTAAGATTTTATTTATTCATTTGACAGAGAGAGAGAGATCACAAGTAGGCAGAGAGGCAGGCAGAGAGAGGAGGAAGCAGGCTCACTGCTGAGCAGAGAGCCCGATGTGGGGCTCAATCCCAGGACCCTGAGTTCATGACCTGAGCCGAAGGCAGAGGCTTAACCCACTGAGCCACCCAGGCACCCCCAATTTTTTTATTTTGTGATTGATTCCATTGCTTTTTGGCTTGGAAATTGCTTCTCACAGAGGCAAGCAATTATTTGTTTCTTTCTCCCTTTTTTTTTCTTTACAGCTTGATCTTTAATACTTAACCCATTAATCTATCTAGAATCAATATTAATGTATCATGAGAATGTTAGTGGACTTCCCCTACCAAATACCTACTAAAGAATAAACAAAGGTCCACACTTTATTTTAAAAATAGAAACTGTTACCAGACTTGTTTTAAACCATGGCAGATATAAATTGAGCTGACACCAACACCAGAAATTGTATTTTATTATTATTATTACTATTGTATTAAAGAATAAAGCAGCTTAATATGTACTTAAACTGGGCAGGAAAAGAATTTTTAATAAACCTATTGTGAAGTCATTTTATATAAGAAGTGTTTCAAGATAAGAATACTTTATAGACTTCTATGCATTTTATGAATTTTCATATTTACATAAAACATAAAACATTCATATTCATGTGGAGGTTTATGTGCCAAAAAGATAAAGACAGGCTTTACAGTAAAACAATCCACCATCAAGAGACCATTCGCTCCTTAAAATGAATGGCAGAAAAACACAACAGAGAAATCCACCATCAAAACAAGAGAACAAAGCTTAGTTTACAGGCCATCTTGAACTATCATTTCAGGAGAATAGCTTATTAGCTGAGGCTCTCATTTTATTATTTTAGGCCTCCAAAGTGGTGTGTACAAACTCTATCATAGAATCCAATGGGATTGGGAAGTAAATATAACTTGTATTTTTATTTAATTTTATCAAATCTTTAAAAAAAAAAAACCTTAGGGGGAGGTATATGTACAAAGTGCAGTAGAGTATGTTAATTATGAGCTGAAACTTATCCCCTCAAAATTCACATACTGAAGCCCTAGGTCCTAATACCTGAGAATATGACTGTATTTAGAAAGTCTTTCCAGAGGTGATTAAATTAAAAAGGACCTTTATGGTGGGTCCCAATCTAATCTGACTAGTATCCTTATAAAAAGAGGAAATTTAGGGGCGCCTGGGTGGCTCAGTGGGTTGAGCCGCTGCCTTTGGCTCAGGGCATGATCTCAGGGTCCTGGGATCGAGCCCCGCATGGGGCTCTCTGCTCAGCGGGGAGCCTGCTTCCCCTTCTCTCTCTGCCTGCCTCTCTGCCTACTTGTGATCTCTCAATCTCTCTCTCTGTAAAATAAATAAATAAAATCTTTAAAAAAAAATAGAAAGAGGAAATTTAAACCCTGAGACACTAGGTATAAACACATATAGTGGAAAGATCACACGAGGAAATAGGGAGAAGCAGGCCATCTATAAGCCAAGGAGAGGAGTTTCAGAAGAAACCAGTCCTGCCAATAAGGTTCCAGGTTGATCCTGGACTTCCAGACTTCAGGCATGTGAGAAAATTAATTCCTGTTGTTTGATCCACCCAGTCTTTGGTAGTATCGTGTGGCAGATTTACCAAACTAATATAATAACTTATATATTATATATATTATTATATATAACTTAAATATTATGATTCATTTACCTAGGTCATAAATTCTGTTTACTAATTAGCACACAGAATTTACAACTCGGGCTCTAAACAAGCAAATAATTTTCTTCCTATTTTTCCTTCAATTATAAGCTGATTCCCTTCATCAAAGAAAATTCATTTCTGATTTCCTATTTCTTTCCCCCCAAAAAACAGGTTTCCATTATTGTTTCCACGAAGCTAATGGATTATTGTTATTTTGAGAGTTTATAATCATATATATATATATACAATTTTTTTATTTTTTATTTTTTTTTAGATTTTACTTATTTATTTAAGAGAGAGAAAGCAAGAGAGATCACAGAGGGAGAGGGAGAAGCAAACTCACCACTGACTGAGTGGAGATCCTATGTGGGGCTCAATCCCAGGATCCTGAGATCATGACCTGAGCCAAAGGCAAACTGAGCTGAAGGCAGATGCTTGCCCCTCTAATCATACTTTAATGTAAGTCTTCAAATATCTAAATTTGTTCTTTGGATCAGCTGGAATATATTTGTTGATAAATAGTATTAGCAGAATCTCAGTTGCAAAGTCTACTCCACTTAGAGAAAAACTTAAGTATTAAAGCCAAAGAAGCTACAGCTTTATTTGTATAAGCAGTTTCACTTTTGATAAGGTTTTGACACCAAAAAGTATTAAGTTTCTTCAGTGCAGAATGGGAAAAATTCAGTAACATGAATAGCATACAATATAGAACCAAGTAGCAAATAAAATAAATTATCACAATAAACAAATACTTAGAGATCAGCTGCAAAAAAAAAAAAAAGGCATATTCTACAGATAATTTATTTATGGGCTATTCAAAATACATATTACAAGAGCGCCTGGGTGTCTTGGTTAGTTGAGTCTGACTCTTGGTTTTGGCTCAGGTCATGATCTCATGGCTCCTGCGACTTAGCCCAGTGAAAGGCTCAGTACTCAATGCAAGTAGTCTATTTCCTCCTTCTCCCACTCCCTCTCCCTCTGCCCTCCAGATCTGCTCATGTGCATGTTCTCTCTCAAATAAATAAAATCTTAAAAAAAAAAAGTTTTACATATTAAGTCCTTTGTTTCACGCTGAAAAGTCTGTTCAATTTTCAGCTTGCAGAAAGCATAGCACTTAATTTTTACAAAATTATGTTTGATTCTCCCATCATAAAAGCAGCAAAATTTGGGGGCACCTGGGTGGCTCAGTTGATTAAGCATCTGCCTTCGGCTCAAGTCATAATCCCAGGACCCTGGGATCAAGCCCCACGTCAGGCTCCCTGCTCAGCAGAGTCTGCTTCTCCCTCTCCCTCTCCCTGCCATTCCCCCTGCTTGTGCTTTCTCTGTGTTTCAAATAAATAAAATCTTTAAAAAAATAAAGTAAGCAAAATTTTAAAAACTCATTTGAAAAATTGAGGAAAACACACAATGAATAAAAAATTCATTATTTAATATTAATTACATGCAATATTGTATGCATGTTATATATTCCTTTTGGGCATATAGAATTATCTTTTAAATAAGTAAAAATACATATCTTTGGGTAAGTAATTTTTTTTTAAAGATTTTATTT